AGAAGAGAAGGTGAGAGAAGTACTAGTAGAACAATCATTGAGGAAACCTTGGCATTCCCACGTAACTGACACTTGACAAGAGTGGCTGTGTTTCGTTAGCGGAATCCATGACAACGTCCCTCTTCTTCTCTCGCTCACCTCGCCCATGGCTTGCTCGACTTGCTCATGTACTCCTCAACCACTCCGCTCATTATGCATTATTACTCGGGGGTTGTATTAAAATCTCCCCCCACATCTGTAACCCCCAGCCCAATCTTCGGGCTCGGAACTTCGGCCATCACCACCAACCTCTTGGGCTTTGAGCGGACACTGGTAGCATTAGGAGATCTGCTGGCGGTATGTAGTTATAACTTATAATGTATTCGACCTCGCGCGCGCAGTTTTGGGTCGCGCGCGCGTGCGAATGCTATTTTTGTACAAACGAACCGCCCCCGCGACCACTCAGGCGACTCGGCACCGCCCATACGCTCTCTGCGACATACCCGTGCCGCATCCTGCATACTGCGCATCCTCCGCTCGCTGTGCCCCCCATTCTTTGTCCCGCCTTTCCCTCTCTACGACGCGTGCGACTGCGGCCATCACTACACACTGTGCTCACCATCCCCCCACTCGCTTCGGCGTCTCATTGGTATCTGCATCCGATGATCGCTCGGCTGCCGTATTTCCACATGTCCGACTCACCACCTTCCTCTCCCTCGTCCCCCTCGATCATCCTCGATGTCCGTCAGTCCAGCGTCCGCAGCGCAGCAATGCACAACCCACGATCCATCCTGGGACGCGCGCTTGCTGCACGGCAACCCTCCGATGGCTATGCGCTCCACACCGCGCCGGTCCCGACCGCCGCGTCCACGCGACGCGTTTATTTGCGTGCACGTGGCGCCGCCCGACGACACAAACACCTTCTAACTCACCACAACTTGCAACGCCGCAGCCGCCGCCGGTCCTCGTCGCCTCCACTGCGCACCTCCGGCCACCCGCCATCGCCCCTTCCGCTCGCCATCGCCCCCGCTCCCCCTTCACTTGCTGCCACTTCGCATCGCCTCGCCCACACTGCGCTACTACGCCACACTTAACCGCCTACTTCTACCTCAAGACTAAGCCCCACCCATGCCTATCTGCCGAAGGGGACTCAAAGACTAAGCGCCTGCCCGTCCAGTCACGGCGGTCTCGCCACGCCTTCGCTTCTCGTCTTCCTTCCATCTCACCTTACCCTCCCTCTTCCAAGGTCTGTCCTCTGCGCCCTGACCCCGTGAGCACGGGCTAACGATCTCCATTTTCCAGATTTGATGCCCTCCCCTTCGCCACGCCCTCTACTACGTACGCGCCGACGCCGTCCCGCCGCGACCCTTTCGCATAACAGCTGTAACAGCATGGGCAAAGCAGCCGCCCCTCAACGCGCGCTTTGTACAATCTAGGTCAGTCCTTTTTACTCTTATTTTCCCCTCCTCTCAATGTACCTATCCCCTCCTTCCCCTGTTTCCTGTTCGGCTTCCTTCTTTTTGTGTATACTAACCCTCTGTGCAGTCATTATACCCTAGCGTCTCGGCTGCGTGAAGACGTCGTCCCGCATCGGCGACGATGGTCTGCAGCGCCGGCGATCGTGTAGCCGCCCTCTCGTCTCCCACCGCCTGCCCGGTCCCCCCTCTCTCAAACGTCGAGTACGACATCACCCGCGACCACCAGCGCCGCTCGCCACGGAAGCGAAGCACTCCGCCACCACCAACCTGTCCGCGCCCCGCCGTGCGACCGTCACGCCCTCTCGCCCTCCCCACCATCCGCACGAGTCACTATAACGACCATAGTCGCACGCTCGGGGTGCTACGCGACTGCGGCGATTTCCAAGTCGCTGCACCCACCCGCTATAGCGAGACGCCTATCCATGCCCCGCTCACCGCTACCGTCCGCACGACCTCCCGCATGCGCCGCACCTGCCGCGAGCCTCCGCTTGCCGCGCACCACCAACACGACGCGCGCCCCCAGCGACCTGCACCGCGGCGGCGGGGGCGATTTTCCGTGCCCTAATATTAATCTCACTCGACTACCTTCGGCTTGCCTAGTACCCGCGCAGCCTTTTACTCTCGCCCATGCCGCCTCCCCCCCTCCTCGATGCCCAGCCCCAGCTCGCCTCAACGCGGTCCGAACGATACAGGGGAGCGCAGAAGTGCTTCTTTTCCCCCGCGCTCTCGACCTACGCCCCCAGTCGCGCACCGCTCCCCTGCAGATTCCACCAGTGGCTTGTCCGCGACGTCCTCCCGCATCCCAAACGAGAACGTGCATCCCCCTGCGCATTTCGATGCGTTCCTTTACCTACTTACCCTTCCTTTATTTACCTTTACCTCCGACTGAATCTATCCCTACGCATTCAAATAAAGTGTATGTACATTACATCTAATCTCATGTCCCAATTGGTCCGCCTATACTTCCAATGAGCGAACGTTAGCACTTGAGTTGAAATTCAAGAGGAAAAAAAAAGAATTGCGGGCTGACGTCGGTCGCCTTTCTTTTCTATGAAAGTGAGTGCGTTACTCACCGGCCAATGTGCCGCGGTTCGTCTAATACTAGTCTCACAGTAAATTCAGGTCAAATTCAAGCAAGTCTCCAATGAGGTCAGTAACAGTCCCCCTTTTCTTGCTTGATCTTTCACTCGACTGACCTGGTTTACTTGGCCTCATCTGTTTTGACAGAAACCAATTCACGCATGAGATCTGAGATCTTGTACAGGCTTCGAGCCTTTCAGTTCAACTAATCCTATGCTCCCGAAGATCGTTACACTTTGAAGTGAGTTTATTTACCTGCTCACTTGATCTTTCGCTTGACTGATTTGATTCACTTGGTTTAGATCTGTTTTTTTTTTTTTTTTTTGAAGCGTTTTCAATAGTGTCGTTCAAATATGCTCCTACTCGGGCTCCTACTCAGGCTCCTACTCGTCTCCTACTCCGCATTTTACTGCCAAAATGGCCAGTAGGGGACCAGTAGGAAGGTGAGTAGGAGACCAAGTAGGAGCATATTTGAAACCCCCCCTCTGGTATTTCACAAGTAGGAGCACAGTAGGAGATGTTTCCTGCTCACACCCAAGGTATGGGATTGATGAGGGTAAACAACAATGATTGAGGGTTGAGTAAGGGTCAATAGTCCTGGGCAAAGGAGACTGAAAACCTTATGTAGTTGAGTTTGAACACGGAACTTGAATTGTGAACGCAAACAGGAACATGACCAGGAAATGCAAGTAGGAGACCTTTTGCAAAAAGGGACCACTGATTTTCCTACTTCAAAAATCATCCTTTTTGGACCTCCTGCTCGTTCTCCTACTTAAGTAGGAAACTGAGTAGGAAGCCGAGTAGGAGCATGAGTAGGAGTGCGAGTAGGAGATATTTGAACGGTACTAATGAAGTTCAGTCTGCAAAGCATTCCAAATTCATCCGCTGTGGTAACTGATAGTAGAAGCCGGTAGTGTGTCGTCGGGAAATGCCAATTATGCACAGTTTTCAAAACTTAGTGTGGGACTCCGACCTGGAATTGTTATCCAACTCCACGCTTTGTGTTGAAGGCGGAGCGCGATTACTGGCGTACGGAGGTAGGCGCCGCGAAAGTGTGCGTGCCTGCCACTTTGGTGTCAATTATCGAGAACCTCACCGATGCGGCGTGGACGGTGGCTGATACAATGGTGATGGTGAGCCTCGCGGAGGACATTACGGAGGAGGAAAGAAAGGGCAAGGTCGGTGGAATCGAGGAGGAGACGGCGGGCCCGGCCATGAAAGAGTACCACCACAATGTGTGTCTTGTGCACCCGACCCAAGCCGACCTCGCTACGCCCAGTGAACTCCGTCAGATTCGCGGCGCCTTCCTCAACCTCTATCGGCTTCAAGAGCCGGTCGTGCGCGGTCCACATGCCACCTTTCTCATGCGCCTGCTTCGCGAGGTTGCACCAGTCCTAATCCACACCTGGTCCAATACGATCAACCACCTCTTCGTCAAGGAAGAAGTGCGTAGGGTGGTCATTGATTCCGACATGACTGAATGTTGTACCTTTTTCGCCGGCGTACAACTTATCGTTGCATTTGTGCGGTCATATGAAGACCCACACAATGTTATTCAAGGTGGCATCCTCGAAGTTTTCCGATGGGGGGAATGCGCTGCATGCGAGGAGATCGTCATCGGAACATCAAGAAATTCCACCCATTTCTGCGCCGAGACCGGGGAGGAAGTAAAGGTCACCGAGGCCGAATTCCCGAGCCTCGTCCGCCCGTTCTACATCCATGATATTCTCAACGAACCAGCTTTACTCAACTTGTTGCCAGGCACCGTCGACGAAACTTTCCCCCATCTCATCGCCAACACCGTCGAGTCGCTATTGACACCGGAGAGCCTGCACAAACTCCTTCCCTTGGACTCCTCACTGTACAACCCGTCAGTGTGTGCGACGCTCGTGTATCTGCCTGAGTCGTTGGCAGCAGCAGAGGATTGGTGGAAGATGCTGGCGGTCGACGTTTTGCTGATAGAGCAATCACAGTGCCCGCTCGACTGTGAAACAATGAAGGCGACGGAGCGCAATGCTATCTGGTATTTGCGGAGTTTGAATGTGATGATGAAGTGGGGTAAACCTCGCATGCGCAGCGAGGAAGGTAAGCTCTGCTCTCATTGTGACGCCTTTGTACTGACTAGCCAGGTTCTGCGCTCGTGTTTCTCAAATGCGACAACGGGTTCGCCACTGCCATCAAAGAAACGTCGACGGTAAGAACCACGCGTAGCGTTGGTACCCTCACGCCTGCTCCGAATCGGCAAGACACATGGCAGGTGGCGAGCAGCGCAATAGGAGGTTTGATGGCCCACAAAACTGTGGGATGTACCACATCAAGGACATCGACACGCTCGCCGACCTCCCCAGCTCCTTTTCGCGTTTCTTTTGGCTCCGTTACAATCTGGAGCAGGCGGGGGTTTGGGCGGAGTGAGCCGGGGTGACAGTTTGTGTATTAGCATTGTCGTTAAATCAAATAGCAAGGGCCTCTTTAACTCAGTGGTAGAGTGTTGCACTTGTATAAAACGAGCAAATGCATTGGTCAGTCGTTCAATCCGGCTAGGAGGCAGTTGTTTTTGTGAAAAGTTTTTTTTTTTTACCGGCATCCAATCCACTCTTTGGTGGAGCATTAATACAGATCCCGCTTCAGCTCAACAGAAACCACTTGCCTGTCTTTTTACACTCAGTGGTAGAGTGTTGCACTTGTATAAAACAAGCAGATGCATTGGTCAGTCGTTCAATCCGGCTAGGAGGCAGATGTTTTGCTTCAAAGTTCTTTTTTAACTCCGTTGTAAGTTGTTTTTTTGACTCAGTGGTACAGTGTGCACTTGTATAAGCAAATGAGTTTGATCCGGCGGCACAACCTTCTGACACAGTGACAGAAGCAAAGCTGCAGTTATTCGGCGGCGCGGTGGAGAAAATTCCACTGTCGCAGTCCATAACTTGCTGAAGCCTTCGGCCTCGAATACCCAGACTCGCGGTTGCCTGTACTCTGGTATGTAGCTACAGCGCGCCGACTTGGAATACTGGTAGTCATTGTCGTGTGTCTGCGCTCAAATCGGTTGGGACGCCGTACGACAGAAAGACAAAGCTTGAATGGACATATTACAAATGTGACTACACCAGCTCAGACGGCATCGTTCTCGACGAGTTTGCCGCAGACGATATATTTGTTGGAAAAGTGGTCAATCCAACCTGCGGAAAACACTGAGTAAAAAAGCTCGATAGCTAGAGAGACGGCATACCTCTCATGTTGTCTCTGAAAGAGTGGCGTCAGAACTAGATAGATAAGGGAGAAAAGAGGGAGACTAACATCTCGTCTTGCTGAAGGTCGGCCAACTTGTCGAGTGGTTGGTCGATCGGGGTCAGCATTTCTGAAGACAATAAATAAAATGTACACTTGGAAAGAAAGCAAGGACTCACCGACGTCGAAAGACTGCTTCGCCATCCCCCGAGAGGCGTCTCTCCCAGCAAAGTTTCCGTACATCCCATCTGTAGGCAATGAACATCATGTTCCTTCGGGCAGTGTAGCAGCGCACTGGGGCCATAAAAGTTCCTCCCGGCCGTGACGTCGAACACGGTGCCATTAATCGCAAGCAAAATGCGTCCTCCATCTTGACCGGAGAACGGCTCCAGCGTCTTGGGGGTGTAAGTCTTGTATAGGACGGTCGGTGGGTGCGTTTTCGGCATCCATGAGTACCCAGCCTTGAACTCCCGTGGGATGGTGGCGGGTTTGGAGACACTCGGAAAGACGATACGCTGCACAGAATACAAGATAAAGAGGAACAGAGCCGTATTCACGGGCGTCCCGAGCTGTAGTGTGAAGGCCATGGGCAAGTCGTAAGGTGTGACAAGCGTGACCTCTCTCTCGGACGACCATCGGCTCATTGCTCGATTGCTAATTCACTGCTCGATTGCTAACTCACTGCTCGATTTGCTAACTCACTGCTCGATTGCTAACTCACTACTCGACTGCTCGATTGCCAACTCGACTGCTCGATTGCCAACTCACTGCTCGATGATAGTACTCAGTATGCGATTTGGTTCTGCTCGGGCCTTCATCTCTCATCCTTGTCTAGATTCACAAGACGGTTCGACGGCGGGTGCCAGTAATGGTAGTAGTGAGCCTTCTGCCGAAAACCTACCAGAGTACACCAGTATAATCTCCTCCCGGCCGCCTGTAATGTTCATCCTAACTGTTTCCAGCTACATAGCGTCCAATCGAGCGCAACCGCCGCGTTACTCCCGCGTTCGCCGTCCCAAAAATCCTCTAAGCTATACATTTGTCCCTCCGCGCTTCGCCGATGACCCCAACTCGATGGTAATGGTGCCACCGGAGGAAGCAGATGACCAAGGACAATATCGGATATCAGTTTCCTTAAATCTCAATCCCTTTTTGCCGGTCTCGTACCGCACGACTGTACATCGGCTAGAGGGCCCCGATGAATCATTTATTGGGGACTTTGAGTGCGTGTTGTGGTCTGGCCTCGGCACCTGCCTCTAACATCCGCCCAGGCTTTCGCTGAATCACCGCCGTGCCATAATCACTATCGGGGATATAACGACTCGCCTCTCAAATGTGCTCTTTAACATAAATGCGTCTCCAGTATGTATTCATTGTCGGCCGGTGACTAGCTCACACAAGCGTACCCTATTCAGAGACACTGGACTTGGCGATGGGATGAGATTGGTTTGCGATGGGATTGCCGGTCCACGTTGGAAGACGGGAGTCCGATGTGTATTGTAGCTGCCGTTTTATCTCCGCGCGACGCTCACCATACTTATATACCTCGCAGTGCTACACCAGCGCTTCACCCGTTCAACTGGCCTCGTTCGTTCCCCCACCGCTCGACGCTCCGCCTCCCCTTCCAGAAGCTGTGCTCACGGTGTTTCCCGAGGGACACGATGTGTGAGTGATTTGTCTGAGACCTTGCTTGACCTGCTCAAAGAAAAATCAGTTTCGATCATATAATGCTTTCAGCCCTAGTCCTAACACGCAAGATAGGGCTTGAGTATTAGGTATAGACTTCTTTGCCGTGTCGCTGGTTATCATCATTATAAATCCAATCGTGTCTGAAGAAAGCGATGCAGATTACTTATGTTCACATTAAATTGGTGTGTTGGTCAATCGCGGGCGTCGTTATTCTAGCGTGTGGTTTTTAAGTTGAATGGTTCAACGTGGAAAACTGTCAACTTGGATCGCAGAAAGCAGAATTTTATTTACGCCCTCAGTCGCATCATCGGCCCGATGTTCCGTTTCTCAAACACGATGTTCGAACCGAGATTCTACATCTCGCGTCCTTGCGTGCGACAATCGACATCTACTACGCCTTCTGGACCCACCACAATACCTCTATCTGGTGCAGAAATTCTCGAGATTCGGGAGAGACAGCCCCGCAGTATAAATCTCGACAAAACTTTGAACATCAACAACGTTGACTCGGCCAGGCTCACTGAGGACCAAACTTGGAATCGGAAGTCATTGTTCGGGTGGTCTTTGATATGAAGTTGAGAAAGATGGAGTCCGAGAGAACAGTTTGGCCACAAACTTAATACTGTACTGCGCGACAGGCGGCAACAATTCATTGAGTCGCGAAGAACACAAATATCGCCGTCCCAACGATCTTGTTTTACGACCCTAGTGGTCGGAAAATCTTGGGGAATCAAGCCGTCATACAGACGTTGAAGAGTCGGACGTAGGCGCTCTATACATGCTGATGAGCAAGGTAGATTTGCACAATTTCTTCCGTCAACCTTTCGCTGAGGTTCATCATCTTAGATCCACGGCAGAACACTTGAACGGATGTGGCTGAGCATGTCCGAACGCCAGCGCGACAAGGTTGTCAGATCCTTGGCACAATACACTGTCCAACTGGTGCAGACTCGTTATTTCTCAGCCATAGGAAGGTCTATACGACAGCGCGACGAAGATAATGATGTCGTCGGCCCCATGATACCGAGTGGTTTTTGGTCCTGATGCTGCTTGTAAGTATTCTGGACCATGGAACACGGAGAAGGACTTTCTCCTAGGATGTATCAGACGGGAACTTCAGTGGATACCGCTGTTCTTGGCTGGGTATATGCCAACACCGTCTGTCTGGGCGGCCGCACGGGTTCCGGACTTTCTTTTCGGCCGCGGCGATGCTTTCGAACAAGATGCGGTTGAGCGGACTTGCAAAGCTCGCCTTCACGATCTATTCGCAAAATCCCTGGGCCTCTCTGGTGATTTGCGTACTGGGGAAGGCATCCTAGATTATTACTACGATGAGAAAAGATATGGAGGAACCTGTTGGTGACGTATTGGGAGTTATCTGAGGCCTACCAAAATTTTTCTACGATTCAACGCAGACTTACATACGAATGGCTCAACGAAAGTAAGGAACGCGTCGTGGTCACGAGACCGCGAAAGCTGTCGCCGGTAACACCGACAAACAGCGGCCCGGGCGCTGTTGATCTTCACGACGCGTCAACGGGTCCCGGCCAGCCTGCGTCTGTCGCGTACAGCCTCAAAAGCTGTTATATTCGAATGTCATCCGCGGGTCCATCTTATCCGGAATAGCATGGTGGCCACAACTTGAAGGGTGACAGCTCTATTTGGACAGACAAAACACTCTCGAATCTACACTAATCTGCAATTTCAACTGACTGCATTCACTCTACAGCTCCCAGAGTCACTCTACAGCTCTTCCGCGTCAACGTCGAGCTTGTCGAGTCTCGTATCGTGTCGACTGGTGATACGAGTTCCCCCGAAAGCCCCTATTCCTACACCGCCTTCGACTCAGAGACATCCCTACTTCAAAGGTAGTCTCTCTTGACAGCCAGCGACACTCATAATCTCGTTCTACGAGATCTGGCCCCACTGGACTCTCAGCCCTCCAGCAGCGACCATGTCTTTTGGCGAGTATTCGTTGCCGACCGACACACTCGCAGCGATTCTCAGTGCCTATCCTTTTTCTGTCGGCCTACTGCGTGAAATCTTACAGGTGCGTTCCTCCTTGTTCTATGTCTATGTTCTGATAACGACCGCCTCAGAATTCGGATGATGCTCGCGCATCCAAGCAGGTTTTCGTTCTTGACAAAAGGTCGCATGGAACGCAGACCTTGGTCGACCCGAAGCTTGCCAGTACTCAAGGCCCGTCGTTGCTTGCATACAACGATGCCTTGTTCTCGGAAAACGATTGGGATGCCTTGCAGAGTATTCATCGCTCGTCGAAGAAGACGGACACGTCGTGCGTCTGCATAGTTTTGGTTCTTCCTCCTTGTACTGAGCATCTCTCACTGCTAGGACGATAGGCAAGTACGGCATAGGTATGTGACACATCCCCTCCCCTTGATAGAGACTGACCGAGTCTCGTAATGTTGCATAGGCTTCCGTTCGTGCTACCATGTCAGTGACGCCACATCCTCAAACCATTGCTTCACAATACTAATGAGCTGCCTTAAAGGTTACGGACAACCCGCAAATAATTTCTGGTCCCACGCTGGCCATTCTTGACCCTCATCATTATTTTGCCGAGTCCGGTGGAACGAAATTCGACTTTGCGCCAAAGGCTGTCGAGTATAGCGACC